TGTCAGTCACCCTTCACATCACCCTTCCGTCCATCTACCTGTGGTTGCAATCTTGATGATTTATATCAAATTTATAGATACTTATAACTGACAAGTAAATACAATGACTTACAGCACAAGCATAATTCTGTTGGCCTTTGCATCCTCTAGACTAATTGATTTATTTACCTATGGCGATACATCAAATTCAGTGTCAAATTTATAGCTTAAGATTAAAGCTATTATTAATAAGGTGAACCTTCAGTAAAGTGGTTAAATTTTTCACCCACTCAATTTCATTTTCAATTAAAGCCTGTTGCTTGATTAATGGTTGAAAATTAATAAAAGACTGCTTCTTTGACACCAAAATGCTGGGTTATTTGCTCTTTGATCACAAAGTCTGCTTTCTCTGATGAGGCAATACTCAATAATCAGATTTGCTGTCTAGAATATTCAGTATAATTTATTTAAAGCTTTGCTATATATTTTTTGCTTTTACTTTTCAATTGCTGATGAATAATATGGGAGAAGACTTGTAAATCAAGCATCTGGATAATGATGATAACATCATAAAACAGATTTTATTTAAAAGGAAGAGGACATGACCTGTTTCTCTGATGGGGGTCGATTTCAGATGAAGGCTCGTCAGAATGGGGGATCCTCTGAATAACTGACCAAGGATAGTTCTTACAGATTTTGGCATAACTAACCTTTTCAGAAATAATTTCAAAATAATGATTAACATTACTCCTAATGTAAAAATAGTAGCAACAACAGTCAATGGGAATCCACAAGAAAACATTGTGGAACTCTGTGAGAGAGGGTCCTTAGACTGTACTCAGATTTCAATTTGATACCAAACGTGCAAATTTGATTACAGATAAAAGTTCACCCAAGCTGGTGGTCAATATTATACTTTATATGACATGCTCAGTTTATTTTTATAATTTTCAAGAGATAAATGAATTGCCAATGCTTCAGTGAAAAGTGAAATTAACCCTACTGCTCTTTTTTCCTGGGAGAACTTTTTTTGCCATCAAGGTTAATTATTGAAAGTTTTACATTTCCACTGAGAAACAGCAGGTGAAATGGAGGCTAATACCGTCTGGCTTGTGGTTTTACTGAAGGCAGCCAATCTAGCATTTTGTTGCGCTGTGAGTTATAACTAATCCCTTCCCAGTGCATTGAACAGCATAAAGGTGCCTCATTTTCTTGTCTTGGGGCAAGACTTTGGAATGTCTGATTTTTATTTCACTTGAAAGTTGGAAATAAAAGAGTTACAACAAGATTCATATAATTTTTACGTATGTTATGCTACTGTGCTAATTGTTAATGTCAGCGAGCAGGAGAGTTGTTACTTCTCCATATGTTTCATAGCACACTAGCTGCCCATTGCATTCCAAGATTACAGGGTTTAAACTAATGTTGGATTACTTTTGGCAGGAATAAAATACCAACTGATTAACTAGTATGACTTGTGGACTTTGACATTTTAGTAGTTTACAATGCGTTCCTTCGCATGCATTACTGTCATGCTGGTTTAACATACGGATACATGGGATAACTGCACTTAAAACTTACGTACGCACGTACTACATGTTAATATGTGTGTGATAATGAATTGTAAAAAATAAACATATTAAAATTATCTTTCATAGGGTTAAGTTAATCAAATGTTTGAAAGGTAAAATTGTCAAGTTATAAATCCTAATTTGCCATTGCCATGAAATATTGTGATAATTTGAAACAGGTTTTAGAATAATACATGCACCTTGACAGATCTTGTCGGTTCATTGTACCATGACAGAATTTATAGAGGGAGGGGAGGAGGAAAGGAGATGACAGGCTATCGTAAGAAGGATGATTGTTTTTACAGAATTCTGCCAAATTATTGCTCACAGTAATTGCTTATGAATCTTTCAGGCGGAAACGTCCTTGATAATCAGCCATTTTACCTCAACTGGGCCTGGATCTCCTTCGCCACAGAATACTACATCGTGAATGAGACGGACAGGAGAGTCAACGTCACCCTCAACAGGAGGGGTTTTCTGGGCGAGACATCATTTATCAGTAAGTATTCACATTCAGAAAACTCTGCATAATTAACCTTGCCTGTTTGGTTCGGGAAAACTTGTTCCAGTTACACAAAGATTCAAGTTAGGCATCCTTATTATAAATTTCAGCTAATGTCCAAAAAAAAAAAAATTACTTAAGATTTGTTTGAGATGAATAATAATTGGTGTTATAAGGTGAAGAGTTATGAATAGTCTGCTGTAATTATAGAACATCAGTATGAACTGATCAGTCAGATTAGTAGTAAGAGGCCAAAGTAGCAAGTTTATCATTGCGTATAATCTGATGTTTTTCGACTTAATTTTGCTTAGATGTGTTGATTGGTGGCATAATAAGAGAGTAACGGAAAACTAGTTAGCAGCTTCAATCCCTGTAGACACACACTTGCTAAAAATTAAGATTCTGGCCTTTGCTATGGGCCTGCCTAAATGAAATTCAATTTGGTGTTTAGATTTTGTCCAGGTTCACTTTTTGATTTCAGACTAAACTAATATTAGAGTATTTTAATGATTACAGGTGCACAGTTTTACAGTTTTATGTTCCTTTTAAAATGCAAGGACAGGTAGACATGCTCATATATTTAATGCTGCATTGACTCACAACCAACTGAAAATGTTTAACAAATTATGATAAATTCATATTTCATTTTACAACTATTAACAAATCTTCCAATTTTTGAACAGCTATCACTGCAAAAAATGGCACAGCCAAAGTGGGTGAAGATGTTAGGAAGAAGTATGCCCACCAAGTGCAGTTTAACCCAGGTAAGATGTTCAGGTAGACTTCAGGTAGGTAGGTAGCCACCATGTCTGTACTGGAAGACCAAAGCAGGAGAGTGCTCTCATTGCTCCCGTCTTCCTGGTTGGAAGTTATGGGTTTGTTTCTCTGGCTAGGTCAAGTAAGGGGCCACCATAAAACTAGCACCTGCTGTCTCCTCACATAGTACTTACCAGAGACTCATGGAGATGGGGAACCTGGTCATGAAAAGTCTGGCAATGGGCAAGTGACTAATTATCCAGTGCCTCATGTTCAGCAGAGTAAATGTAATGAGCAGATACCAGTAACCAGAGAAAAAGCCATGATTGTGTACTTTATAATAGTATCAAATAATATTTATATATAAGATTTAACCAGTGTGTTGGCAGTGCATGTATTGAAAGCATTGTCAGTGTAGTTGAACGCTGATAGACTTAATTTGCTGATAATTCTGAAAAAAATAAAAATCTATTTTCATTAAAGTTATATTGCATTCTGTTAGATAAACAGAATTAAAGGTGTAACTGAATGGGATATTAAACAGTGCTTTTATTTAACCTTTTTGTTAAGTTAATACTTATTTCACTAATTGCAGGGCAAATGAAGAAGAACTGGCACATTCGCCTTATCGATGATGACAAGTACGAGGATTTTGAGACCTTCACACTGGAGCTAAGTGAGCCTGTGATGGGGGCTTTGGAACACCCCAAAGTGGCCACTGTCCGAATCCTGGACAAAGAAGATGGTAGGGTGACCTTAGAAGAACTGGACTATGGATTACAGCTGAAATATTGCACTTAAAGTTTCATTTGTTATAATATCCAGATTATATCACAACTAAGTCTTCTTATTTGATACATCTAATTATTAGATAAATTGAGTTTAGTAGACTGTGACCAATTTTTATTTTCACTGATGTGTGAATGGTCTGATTTCTTATATTTGAAAAGTTTTTACTTCAGTTCACATGAATATACCGAAGCGTCTATATATGGGTTTCAATTTGATAAATAAATATAAAACCACAGTTAAGTAGTATATTTCAAAATCCTGGAGAAGCTTGTACTGTTTTTAATCACTAAAAACATGTAATTTTCCAGAGTCCACAGTGTTCTTCCCAGAGAGTCAGTACACAGTGGAGGAAGACATTGGGATCATTAAGGTGCCTATAAAGAGGACTGGAGACATTTCTGACGAACTGATGGTCATATGTTCCACAATACAAGGTGAGGAAACTTTCTGTTATATTCTTTGTAAGATGCTGTAGAATGAGTGGGTATATACAAATTAATTTGTTGTCACTAGCTGAGAAAAATAATTATTTTTTAATTTTTTTTTTGTACTGTACTGTGTGATCAGTGCAGTTGTACCTTTGAATGAAAAATTTTTTTTCAAACTTTTCTCTGCAGTTCAACACAAGTCAGTGCATTAATGAATTTTAATATCAATTTTTATTTTTTTATAACTTTTGTTTAATTCACTCTTTCTCAATTTCCAATCATTTAAATAAGTATTGACTGGTTTGTTTTTTCCCCACAGATTCTGCCACGGGGACCGTTCCGTCCACTGTCACTTCCTATTCCGACTACATCACCAGACCCGAAGACCACAACAGCATGGTGCGCTTTGACAAGAACGAGGACACCAAGTTCTGTAACATTCAAATTATTGATGACTCCTTGTTTGAGGAGGAAGAAAGGTTCCAGGTTGTTCTGACCATGCCTATGGGAGGGAAGGTGGGGCAACATAACATGACAGAAGTGGTCATTGCCCCGGACAAAGATGATGGTATGTTGATGATGTAAAAAAAGGTGTGTGTGTGTGTGTGTGCACACATGCATGCGCACATGCATACATGCGTGTGTGTGTTACACTGGTGATAAAAAGTGTATGGTGTGTGTATGTATTTGTGTTTGTGTGCATCACATTGGTAATAAAATGTGGGGATTCAGGCTAATTATATTATAATAATCTCCACATCCCTATACAAATGTTGGAGCAGCCATATATATATATATTCATTACTTCCTTGACAGCAGTTCTCAATTTTGCCATCACATGAATGAGGCGCTGTACAAGTATATTTATTTAGAAATAGAACTGTGTAACCCTGTGTGAATCAAACCTCACACCTCCCGCTGTGCAGCAACTGTTTCATTCTGAAAAAATGTGGCCTTTTGTTGTGCAGACAGAATCTCGCTGCTAGGGGTCACTGGGGTCAGCAAGAAAGGCTCATTATGGAATATAAAGTGGCTTCTGTTTTTGAAGCACAGTGGCAGTTTTATGCCTAGTTCTACTTCAGGGGTCTGTATAGGTCATACAAAGCACTAATTAGAGGAAAGATAAGTAACTGTCTCTGCAGGGTGCTTTGTTATGTTATACTTAAACAATATTGAGTATTCTTTCTTTTCTTGCAAAGTTGAAAAGAAACTACTACACCACTACATGGCATACAAGTATAATGTGTTTAACTCGGAGTAAAGTTGTGTTTGGGTTAATTTGTAGGAAAATAATTGCTTGAAAACAACAAATAAGTCATTATTGATGTGTAAAAGCACATGTTTTGTGTCACTTTAATCTCTTATGGACATTGATTACAATATTTTTGTCAGAATCATTTAAGCATGTAGAAATCATTTCTTAGGCTTTAGTTAAAAAAGAAAACAAATATCTGCAAAATGTAAAAGATGAACCCTTACCAACATGACATTTATTTTCAGAGCCTGCTATCTACCTGGGAGCATCAGAATATGAGGTTGATGAGAGTGATGGTTTTGTTGAAGTTAAAATATGGCGGACGGGAACAGATCTCAGCAAGACCTCCAGTGTCACAATCAGGTCCAAAAAAACCAAACCTGTCTCCGCTGAAGGTAGGGCATGAAAGTTACAGCTTACCTTGGCTATATTAGTGATTACTCATCAACTTATCTATTGGCTCCACATTTAACATATATATATATTACATATATATATCTTGAATTTGTTTGGTTATTTGACTTCAAGTATTGTAAAAGATATAGACTCTCAGATGGATTTCACTGGCATATTTTTATTGAGTAGCTTAAGATAGTAGATGATGTTTAACAGAATTCAAAAAGTATTTTCTTGTTGAAACAAGCATAATGATGCTCTGCTTTAGATATGATAGTTCATTTGATTTTATTTGCATTAATGCAAACAGAAGGGTTCTCAAGGTGAGTACAAAAATGAGCTGCAACAGTGTAAGTTTTGTCACAGAAAAATCTGAAAATGGGAGCAAGTTTTGCCATATGCCTTACTAGGTTAGGGGGCTTATTGTGGAATTTTTTCTAGATAATGCCCACTAGCTTGTAGACTAGCATGCAGCATGCATATTTTCATAGATGGATGGATAAGAGTAAGAGAGAGAGAGAGAGATGGTGGAGAAGTTTGAACTAATATTATTAATAATAACACTCTCATATCTTTCCATTCAGCTGGCTTAGACTACTCTGCAATCAACAGAGTGGTAAACTTTGCCCCTGGGATGACCATGCAGACGGTCAAGGTGACCATATTGGATGACCTTGGTCAGCCCAGACTGGAAGGTCCCGAGAGTTTCCAGTTGGTTCTACGGATGCCCACAGGAGGAATGATGGGGGAGCCCAGCAAGGCATTGGTCGTTATCAACGACTCAGTCACTGACTGTATGTGGTATTCTGACATCATCTTTTAGTTACTCAGTCATACTTGATAATGGCTGAGGAAAATTTGATTACATTAGATTTTCTCAATTTTCTTGATTTTAATTAAACATTGCGTGCAGTTACAAATGATTGGCATTTTTGTTAAACTAAAATGTTTTTCTAAAATGTGTGCATTAAAATGTCATCAATGAGGAGGGTTATTTGTGATGATATGAAATTTTACATTTAAATAAAGTTTGATGCTTTCCTTTCATTTTTTGGTCTGCTAGATAGATTTTGCAGTCATTTTGTTAACCAAAAACCACTGAAAAGGCCAGACAAGCAGTGTTTGTTGCAAATTGTTATTATCCAAAGCCAAAAACCAGCATATTGTTATGATTTTCACTCTGATATCAGGTTGCATGGTTTTGAAGAAGCCAGACTTGGTTTTTGTGGTTTGTCAAGTTTAAGGGTTGAATACCTCTGTTACCAAATGAGAAACGGATATAGTTACTATGGAAATAAAATCAGAGATTACATAAAATGATTTCAATCTCAGAATAGAACGTTGTTTGCCTTGAGGGAGACTAGACCCACACTGGGGACCACAGAGACATGATTGATGGTCTTGATAGTGCTCTGAACTGTACCTTTTAACAATTTTTAACAAAAACTTTGGGAAACATGTCCCTCTCCCTTTTCCCAAACCCAGAACGATCTTTGTCTGCAGTTCTCCCATATATCAGAATTATGTTTTTGAAGGAAGAAAAAGGCCAGTGCAGTGGTCAAAGGAAGCATGTTCCATCAGAATGAGTAAAACTGCACTTTCTTTACAAAATTTTCAGTGGGGGAGAATAATTGAAATATTCTGTATCCATGCTGTGTGATAGCAGAATTGTTATTTCCTTATTAAAATTCCTTTTTTAAATGACATGAAAAAATGCACTTGAGTGTCTTTCTATGTATATACTGAAATATTGATTTGATATATTTTTCTTGGTAAGAAAAAAGCCTTGCAAACTTTTTACAGGACACCTGCAATTTTAACTTATGAATTATGTCTAAATATCCTGTGGTTCACATTTCCAGTACCAAAATTCCACTTTGAAGAGGACATGTACATGGGTTTTGAAAATGACGGTGTTGTGAGGACCATGATCAGACGCACAGGCGATACCAGCCACCTAGCAACCGTGCGCTGCTACACAAGACAAGACACAGCCAGGGTTATGATGGACTACAGTGAGAGGCCAGACACTGATGCTTCTATTGTTACCTTTTTGCCAGGTATGCAAAGTGAAGTATTTTATATTGATAATGAAAAATTATATCTAATACTGGATCTAATGTTGAAATGAAGATCATGATGTATTCACCTTATCAAAAGGTCATGGACTCGATTTTAGCGTAATAATAATAAGAAGGGTTTGTTTTACTCTTTGCAATATGTAAAACATATATTGAATGTATTTATATGTATAATTTATATATTTATATATAATGTCATTTGATGGTAGACATTAAAGATCTTTCACTGGTTAGTGGAATTATTCAATTTTATTTTATAGGAGAAGTGAAAAAGCCTTGTATTGTGGAATTAATGGGAGATTCTGAGTTTGAGGAAGAAGAGGAACAATTTCGCCTGGTTCTTGGTAGCCCCAGCAGCCCGTCTGCTGGAGGAGCTTTGATAGGAAGTCCAAACTTTACCACCATTGTCGTCAAGGATGCTGGAGACAGTAAGTTAGGCCACATTCACAACAGGGAACTAACTAGTCCGTGGATCATATATGGTGGCCCACTTAAAAGTTTGCCACATAATACTGTAATAGACACTGAAAAGAATCCTGTGGGGATTACGTGACAAGCATTCAAGTAGGTCGGCCATATTTAATCAGTGGATCAGTTAGTCTGCTGTTGTGAATGTGCTCTTATTCACTGTTAAATGTGTGCTAAAATATTAACATCCAATCGTTTCTGAAGTTGGAGATTTCTTTTGTTTTCTGAGATGATGTACTGTTCCAGTTGGGATCAATTTTATGGGTCAAAGCCTAAATATGGAGCACACTTCAGGTGTTATTCATGTTTTTGTTTGAAACCATATACATCTGTATGATAATTAGTTTACATGTGTTTTTGACAAAAAAAAAGAATTTTCAACAGGTGCATATAGAATTTCATGACAAATTGGAAGTGTAGTAAAGTCATTATTAAAGTTCTTAACTGCTGGCATTTGAAGTAGTACTACTGTTCTTTGTGTCTTCCTTGGCTGCTGGTGTGTGTTTGTTTGGGGTGTTAAAGAGGCCACCTAGACATTCAGAGAGATGAATCTGTATATTTGACACTGCTGTGGTTTCAAATCTGCCTGCAGCACTTTGATTGTTAAATAAGGCATACAAACCACAAACTTTTGATAGGTAGTAAGAGAATACAAAAACTATCACGCCACAAATATAATCAAATACCACCTTTCAGAAGAAGGTATTGCTTGGGTTGCACTGCCAACTAACAAAGAAAATGATACTCTTGTTTTGAAAAAATACCAAATCTGTTTACCCTGCAGTGGTGCTTGTATCCGTGACTAATACCTTGTTACCACCAAGACACAAGTTGGGGAGAGATTTTACCTTTAAGTGTCTCAGGTGTGTTCTAGGGATAATAATACTGCCAGGGTAAAACCACTCAAGCAAAATAAAGATTTTTTGGAAGAGGGGTGGGGTCTGAAAAAGTTTTTATTATTATTATTATTACTTTTTTCAGAAAATTTTATGACATTTTATGTTTTAACTGCAACTTGAATTGATGTTAATAATGGTTATAGCAAGGCAATGCATTTCATATTTTGATTATTTGGAATCACTTTACCAAAATAATAGCACATAGCAAAATCAGAAATGTAGTATTTTGCTCCAATTTGTTAATTCCTTTGACGAGTTTCATGTTCAGTGTAAGATAATAACCAGAAAATGAAACCTTACCTTGGACAAAGACTTTACAGAAATAATAGTCTGTAGCGTGACATTGTTATTCTTCGATCCAGAAACCGATTATCAGGAGCCTGGAATCTAGACTTAACCGCTGTCACAGTTCTGAAGTGTTTATGTGGTTTATATTATAAATGGGTTTCTTGTGTTTTGTGGTTAAGCAAAAGGCAGTTGAAAAGATGAATGAGGTTTACACAAAATTTTCAACTTCTGTTGTTTTTGCAGGGAGAGGGGATTAAGGACACTTATTTCTGCTGCAAGAAACACTTCCAAAGAGATTTACTATTAACATTAAGGTGAAACTTAAATAAAGATATAAAGAAAAAAAATGGAGATAATAAAATCTTATGTTTTTTTTAGAGCTATTTTACATATTGACAAATATGTCTGTTTCCTCTAGTGTACAATTTTTCTGCTATGTAGCAAAAATTGACACCTTTTGCCATTTTCCATTTTACAGAACCCATCATTAAGTTTGAGAGGACAAAGTATTCTGTTAACGAGCCTATGTTTAGTGGAGAGATTGCCACTGTAGAGATCCCCGTTGTGCGTTTAGGAGATCTTTCACAAACTTCCATAGTGCGTGTTCACACCAAAGATGGATCGGCTAAATCTGGGCCTGGAAATGACTACCATGGCTTCTCTAAAGGTAAGTTGTTGTAAAATAATGCTTCTTTTGAAAGCAGATAGGTTCTTATGTCAAAATACTAAAGTTCTTTCAAACACTCATACTCTGTACTAGCTCGAGTTTGCCTATTTAGTTCAGTCCTTTGAAAAAAGTGGCCATTCCTGTTCATGAAACAGTTAAAAAGTCTTAATTTATTAAAACTTCTTTTCATTTTGGATAAATGGAGAAAATTGAAAATGTCTTCTTTGATCTTGTTTTCTTTTCCTCAGAACTAAGTCCTAAGAATTGTTTTGTGATAACACCTTATATACATAACTGCAACAATATGAAAAAAACTAAAAAATACCTATTTATATTTCAGAACTGGAGTTTGGACTGAATGTGTCCCGCCATGTTATTAAGGTAGAGGTGCTGTACGATGGAGAGAGGGAAATGAGAGAGGCCTTCACTGTCCACATCAAACCTGATAGAAATATGGTGGCAGATGTACAGGTGAGTTCTCATCTGTTTTCAGGTCACGGTTATGACTCAATCCTTTCAATGGAGACAAATTATCAAATTTTCAGATACATAATTTTAAAATCATTAAAAATATATTTCTTTGTAGCACTTGTGGTGTTTTTACTGTTACATGTCTAGGTAACCTGCTTTACAATTTTGTTGCTACCATTCCTGGACCATAGGAATGTTCAAACTTCAATAACTTAAAAAATACAGTATCTGTAAAATTCACATTTTTCCACATTGAAAAGATCAAGCCATTACCTTTTCAGATTTAATATATATCTACTCTATATAATATTAGGTTATAGTTTATAGCATATTAATCTAGAGGAAATTTCTATATTTCATTATTTTCACATGCTCATTATTTCTTGAAGAAGGTTTTAGCTTTAGTCAATATATTGCACTATAGTGAGTAAGCTCAGGAACCCTCTGCAGCAAAGTATCTTTATGAACCTCTCTTTATGAACCTCACTTTTGCCTGCTTTACCTGATTCGTCTTCAACAGTTTCAATTCATTCCTTACTTTTCAGATGAACAAAGCAATTGTGTACATCGAAGAAATGAACAAGATGGCGGATGTCACGTTTCCATCTCCGCCAATGGTGGTGTCCCTGCGTAACTATGATGATGCCAAGAATGCTCCACCTAATCCAGTCCAAGGTTACCCTGTTATATGTATCACAGTAGGTTGATGTTCTCTCTTACTCTAGTTATCCACTTTCTTGATTTGTTTTGGAATCACATTAGGTAGTTCTGTGGTATATAGGAGTACAATAAATTTTGGCATTTTATGACAATCGCTGCTGCATTTAAAAAACTCAGTACTGCCAAAAACTCATAAACAACATAGTAAAATTTTCTAACTTTTATAGTCTGATAAGTTATAGGCTCTGAGATAAATTTTCATGAAATGTGATATATTTAGGTAGAAGGCAACCATCAAGGCATGTTTTTTTAATGAAGGCAATAAGCAATAAATCAGGATGCCGCTCATTTTGTATTATTTTGATTCTGCTTTAGACTTCACATCATACATCTGGACTGCATTTAGGGCAGTGTTGATGGAGAACTGGTACATGTTTTTCATTCATATTTCTCTCTCAGCCTTGTAACCCAAAGCACCCAGAATACTACAAGACAGGTTCCCTGTGTACCAGTGAGGGTATCAACGATACGCAGACTATATTTCGCTGGCGTGTGTCAGCGCCCAGTTACCTAGATGGCGTCACTAGTGAGCTGAATGATGTTTCGTCGAACACCTTCTTCACAAATACACATAAGATTACCCTTGACAGTATTTATTTCAGTGGAGGTGAGTTGAGTTTTATTTGTTTTCATTGACATTTGTACTTCTTGATCTAGATCAATTATTTTATTATACATACAAAATAAAGATTGCTTTGAACAGCTTTAATAAAAGTTTGGTAAAAAATTTTCTAATTATACTTTTAAAAACTTCAATAACTTTGATCAAGCTAGTGCACATCCTGAAGAATAACAGCTCAGAAAAATTTTATTTTTCAGTTTGCTGTAGCCATTTTCAAAAGCTTAAGTGTTTTAAAAATAAAAAATACATTCTCACCATTTACGTGCTCATAAGACTATAATTGCAACACTCAATAGCCTGACACAGAGGAAATATTCTCTCTATAGGAAGCAGAGTGCAGTGTGCGGCCAGAGCGGTGAACGAAGACGGTGACCCTGGCCTGGAGTTGCTCAGTCCAGTGGTGACAGTGAGCAGTGACGAGGGGATCTGTATGCCCCGCGTGATGGGGTCAGTGGGGGCGGAACCCTTCACTGCCAAACTCAGATACACAGGTACTTGTATGGAGCAACTTGAGAAATAATTGAAAAAAGGAGAAATTTACAGTGATTGGTGTAAATGCAAATTGTCTATGTATGCCTTGGTTAATGGAGTTCTGCAAGAACATTAATACATGGGTGTATTGTATCATTTGTTAGAAGTATTTCTTACAATTATTTTTCTTCCTTATGCCAGTGAGAATTCAAAGAGTAAAAATATTTATCCAGAGTTAACTTACTTTTTCACTTTCTATGTGTACTTCAAGAAGTGTAAAAAAGCAGCTTTTGCCAAGGGTTGCACTGAATCCATTTCAAAGCCAATTTGTTTCACATTCTGTAAATTGTATTTACAGGACCTGGTGATCCCACTCACCCCAACATGGTGAGGCTATCAGTGACCATTCCCCACAGAGACGGCATGCTGCCAGTCATTTCCACCAATATATTGTCCAATTTTGAACTGGCCCTCAGCCCCGACGCCTTCCGTATTGGCCAGCACAAATGTTCGAATTTGCTGGATTATGATGAAGTCAGGACTAAGTATGGCTACATCACCAACGAGACGAAGAACCCCAACATCGTAGGTTCCATGGAACCCTATCAGTACAATGCTGATATCCGCTCGGAACCTTCTCTCAGATTTTACAAGTAGGTGGAAGCATTATGTTGATAAGGATTTAAAGCAGAAACTGTAGATATGACATTGTTTTGTGTACATTGTGAAAGCATGAGTAATATGGAACTTTCATTTTGAAATTATTCATTGTCAATCTGTTTATGATATTGAAGTTTCTAGAGTGACTTATGTTATTTGATAGCCTTCTAATTAACGGCAGTTCTCTATTAAATTTTAGATTTGCAGTTCATTTAAGCGTATAAGTGCAGAAGTTTAGTTACATTGTATCAGTGTAGATGTTCAGTTCAATTGTATAAGTGTAGAAGTTTGGTTCAAATGTGTTAGTGCAGAAGTTCAGTTAAGTTATACAAGCAAAGGAGTTCAAGTCAGTTTTATAATAGTGCTTCAGTATTTTACAACTGGGTCCAAAAAGTGATATTTTTGACAGTGGCATTCAGCTGATTATGTAAGTTATATTAAACACAATTTCTCTCAGGAATCTAGACCTTGAGGCGTGTCTCTGGGAGTTTGTGACCTATTATACCATGTCTGAGCTGGTGACGGACTGTGGAGGAAACATTGGTACAGATGGACAGGTGAGTGGTATTACTTTCCTCTTTACAAAACATTTTTTCATGATTTTTTTCAAGTCAGTAAGTGGCTTTTAGGAAGTGCTTCAGCTTTTCTCTTCAGTACCTTTACAAATGTGACAAATATTTACCATTACAGAATCTTAAATTTTTTCAGGATTGATTGAAATGATGTATGTTAATTTTCTTTGGTATGCAGGTTTTGAATCTCAAGCAGTCCTATGTGTCAGTGCGTGTCCCGCTGTACGTATCATATGTGTTTCATTCACCTGTGGCAACTGGTGGTTGGCAGAACTACGACCTGTCCTCACAGCTCAGACTTACATTTGTATACGACACTGCCATCTTGTGGCAGAATGGTATTGGTGCCGAAGATGGTTCATCAGAACTTCAAGGTAAAATAAAATTTCTTATGATCTTATTTTAAAAGTTCTCAGATATTTATTTATACACACTCACGCACGCACGCACGCACACACACACACACACACACATTGTTTTCCCCATATTGAAATAAACATATCTTTTTTACTTATTTAATCCAGGTTTTCTGTATCCAACCAGTATGCGTATAAGAAAAGATGGCCGTCTTGCTGTAAATTTTAGAACAGAAGCCAGATTCAGAGGGCAATATGTGTTGAGTCATCCAGGTAACTAGCTTTAAAAGATATTTCATGTTATAGAGTAACAATTTAATTTGTCTATTAGTTAGATGGACAGTTACTTATGTGTGGACAACTGACATATTTTTAAAGAGGAGAGTAGAATCATTAAATAACAGCATTACCATTCCAGTTTTCTCATAACATTTAATCTGATAATATTAATCTCCATTAAGACCTACTTTTCTGTCTAATTACCTGTAATTTTTTTCTTTAAAATTCTTGTCAATTTTGTCCATTTTCTTGTGGTAGAGGTTGGCTTATGGTATATGTTGTGATAGAGGATATTTTTTTGGGGGGCTTTTATTGGTGCCCACCCTTTCAAGTTAATGTTATTCAGGGGCAGATCCAGAGATATTTTCTGACAGTCTTCCAAATTATCTTTACAAGTTTGTTGATCTGTCCTCCAATTTTGACTGAAAATATTCTGGGAAGACCCAGAAGACGACCTCCCTCCGCCACTGTATATTGATGTTATATCATCCTGTGTATTCACTATTCACCAGGCACCAGTCTGACTTCCATGGTGATGTCAGCAGTCAATCCTGATCTCACTTTTACCTTGGAACTTCTGAGAAGTGAACCAACCTTTGAACAACCTGAACAAACATGGGAGTTTGTGTCAGATTATGCTGTAAGTTAACACTGTAATTATTGAAATATATCTCCAATTTTCTTTATTCGATAAAGATTGTGGTGGGACAACTTTTTGCATGTTTCTTTTATGGTTTCCATTTATACATGAAGAGCATTGAGTGTTACCTTGTAGAAAATACCACTGGCACTGATGAAAACCACATATCATTCAAAATTTTTAAAAATCATGATTTTGATAAGAAGACAATTTCTTATTACAGGTTCGTGACTACTCAGGGAAGTACACCATAAAGCTGATTCCTTGCACCACCCCCCTGGACCAAGAGTACGCCCTCCCAGTCGTTTGTAACCCTCGTCAGCCTATGAACTTTGACCTGGATATAAGATTCCAGCAGATTAGTGATCCCGTGCCTGCCGAGTTCAGTCTCAATACCAACTTTCATCTGCTGCGGAAGAAGGCCCTTTGGCTGTCTGATGGTTCCATGGGGTTTGGAGAGGATTCCGATGCTGCTTTTGGACAAGGTATGGAAACAAATTGATAATTAACTTCAGTAAATTGTTATAATTGTGATATTGCAAAATATTTAAAAATTGTTTAAATTTTAATGTTTGTCAGGTTGTGTTCTTGAAGTAATATTTGCATTCATATAAGTTTAAAACTTTCCTGTCTCTCTCAGGTGACAAGATATATGGAAGAATAATGGTGGACTCAGTTCAGAACCTTGGTGATTCTTTTAACTTGAACATTGAGAAAGTATTCATATGTACTGGCAAGGACGGGTATATTCCTAAATATGACCCTGCCAATGAGGAATATGGTTGTGTGGCAGACTCACCAAACTTACAGCAGACATTTAGAATACTGGTGAGTTTTACTGATATGAGTCAATGAAAATAAACCTATTTTGTTTGTTTGTTTGTTTGTTATGTAGACACTTCAGTAATGCACAAGTTTGTCTCTGGAAAAGCAGAAGTCCGGTTAAAATAAAATTCTCAACAATATTTCATATATCACAATAGGAATAAAATAAAGATGTAATGCTGAATTTATAACATAACTATCAGTAAGTAAGCCTAGTATTAGATATATTTTTGTCCTCTTGTGATATCACTTAACTGGATAAATCAGAACAAGCACTCTCTCAATTTCACATACAGTGTTCCTTCTTTTTCACTCACTGATGTTTGATATTCTCTTACAGGACAAAGGTGCTCCAAACACTATCTCCCCTACATTCAGAGACATCCCCTTCAATGCAAGGCTGGCAGTAGATGACCCCTCAGCAGTGAACCTTGTACTGCAACCAGGATCTGATGGGTTTAGCCTGGATGCCAAACCTCTATTCAAGGCAAGATCTTTTGTTCCTTAAACTTCCTTATTTGGGAGCAAAACTTTTTAGTTCCATCTTAAACTTTAAATAATTTGAGTGAGTTCATGAAATGACGAAATGTTTTCATTAATTTAAAATGTCTTTTAATTGTTTTATAAGTGATGAAATATTTTGATGAATTGAAATTCTCTTTTAACTGTTGTGTATTTTGTATTGTATTTTAGGTGGACTCAGGAAGACAGTGGTTTGTCCACGCCATTTACACTGTGCGTTCCATGGAAAACTCACGAAACGGCATTGGAAAACGAAGCATCACGTACCACAGCATTTCAGGCATTCATTCGTCTTTAGAAACAATGGTGGAAGAGGTGTTACACACACGAAGAAAACGTGCAATAGAAGACACTAAAAATATTGGCCAAAGTAATAACAGGGGAACAAATATGGTGAAAATATCACTGAACTTTACAGCTAAAGCGGAGGACAATAATTTGCAAGGAAACACTGAAGTTGGAACATCTGTTTTAAATACTGAACCAGCCAGCACACCCATAATACCAATTATTATTGCAGTTGTTCTGTTCCTTGTTTTATGCATAATTATTATCGTAATTGTCATCGTTGTTGGAAGAAAGAAAAAAGAAAAAAAGAAATCTCTCAGTAATGGAGTCACTGTCCCCATTGGGAATGGCAAGAGTAGAGTGTATGATCCTAAATATCAGAATAATAATGACAGCTCAGAAGTATAGGCAGACATTTGCTTTTTTTATGTGCAAACACTGCTGTTATTGTAGATGTTGTTGTCACCAGAACCTGTCTTCATTGCCAAAGTACCCAACATTTTTATAACAACTGTATCTGAAAAATGGGGACACTGTTTTGCATTTAATTGTTTAGAGTGTCATATTTCTTGTTGCATCAGTGGAAATCAGAATCGGTGTTTTGCATGAATCTTGGTGTCATTTGTATAGGTCAAAGAATCAAATGGTGTGTTCAAAAATTAGCCCACAGGAAAGCCTCTAATAATCAGCAGAGATTTGGCTTTATTACAGCTCTGTGTATTAGAGTTTGAAAAGTTGCTGGTTTATTTCACATTTTTAAATGTTTTTTTTTTAAGAGAGGGTAGTCTACTTTTATTTAGGGTGCTCTGTTCCAGTTCTGTTATATGTAACAAGGAGATTTTTACTGTTCTACTAGACAAGATGACAGGCCAGATTCTTTCAGAAGCTTTGTCACTTGTTTTTCAGTATACATTTAACTATAATGCATTTTTTACAATGATGACTTGGAAAGTCTCATCTCCTTCAAATTTGTCATACATACAATTTCACATTGGATTCAGTATTTAATTATTTTACATCTGTTACAGTTTTCTTATCTATTGTTACTTTTTTTGTCAAAAGTTCCCAAGTTATTAATGCAAGATAACATCCAAGATTCACAGGTGTCTGTATATAAAGAAACATCACCACACTGTTTTTAAATTCACACTTGCAGTACTACATGGAATTCCTTATGCAGAACAGTATGGATCTTGCTAGTCTTTTTTACTGTCATACTTAAAAAAGAAATGTTACTTTACTAGTCTAGTGTTTTATTTGTGTTCACTGCTAAGCACTGCCTTGCAAAATGTTATTAAAGAACAGTTTTAAGGTGATCATGGTTGTAAATCAAGACCATGTGCTCACGAAGGTCTCTGCAAGAAGACATCAAAGATGGCGTTCAAGTTTTTTTTTTTTTATGTTTTGAGATTTGATCTCATTTTAATCAATATTTTAAGCAATCAGACTTTATCTTCTTGTTCTCGATTAGAACAGGCATTATGACAAAAGTTAGGTTATTGGTATTATAATTGTAGAACTTTGATCATTGTATAACAGTGTGAATTAGACAAAATGATTGTTATAGATATTATATATTAGTGGATTCCTACACTGCCCATTTCGTTAAATGTCTCAAGTTCTTATAATGTATTATATGATTTTATGACCAAAGCTCTTTAAGCATTTTTATGTTGCAGCTACAGTAGGTTTAAATAAATCATTGGCGTAACATTGCTTTGGTTCCTACACACATCACCAATTGACTTTAAAAAATCATTAAATAATTACGATGATATCTGAATGGTGGGTGTGTGTTGCCAAGATTGCAGAGACGCCATATTGGTTTATTTTGAAGTTGTTGATTCATTATGGTGGCTCATATAAAGCCCACAGTGATTAAAACATACACGGTGCCTGAACAAAAATTGCTTGGCTTGTATCACGACTTGTATCAAGATGTGTTTGGGAAACAAGTTTCTGTGCCTTATTCGATTATGAATACTTGTGTATTCAGTTATTAAAATGTCTGCATTTTAATGTGAAGATGGGGTGCCGTAGTTGCATGTTATCTATCTGCAAGAAAACCAGTCAGCATCATTATAGAATTTGTCTAAGCACACAATTTTGTCATAAAATATTATCTTAATTATATTTTCAATCGCCTTTGAGTATGCATCCAGCTTCACTTGTAAAGAAATTTGAACTGACTGGGTAAAAATATTCTATCAGATTGTCTTTGTTTGGTGTTGAATTTTTAACTAGTAGACATCCAGAAGCCTTGCAGACATACCTTACTGAAATTAATATCTTATAGCTGATGTCATATACAAGAATACTGTGTGTAGCCAGTCATAATCTGTTCACCTGGTGATGTCATCTGGTATAGTGTAAGTTAAAGCTGCTCAGAATGCGCCTTTAGTTTAGAAGGGACTCCCCTCCAAATGTCGTGTTTCAGGACATCGTTGGGGGGGGGATATACCCTTTAAGTTGTAGTAACAGGAGTCTTTGAAGGCTTTTTCGCTTACAAATAGTTATTCTTATTAAACATGCACATATATTGTATAATGTTTTCCAGTGTATTTGTTGATGTGTAATAGCATATTCCCTCCAATTATGTAGAATGTTTGTAATTTTTATATCTAATGGAATATAAAACATAGGCCATATAATGAGTGATATTAATTTGCTCTTTAAGTGCAGTTTAGTTTAATTAAATCTGATTAGTTTTATTGATAATGTACAAAACCATCCCTATTGTGAAGTAATATTATTAAGCAGTATTAAATACTGCTCAGAGAATAAAATGACAGAGAAACATTGTAATTATGACCAGTTGAGCTGTGTATTGATTTTTAAATCTCAAACTACCCTTTGTCTACTCATTGATGCCTTGCATGACAATAATATTGGTCCACAATACTCAAATGTATACTTCCCCATAAGTTTCATGCATGTACAAATTTGAGTAGGGTTATGAAAATAATTTTTCACTTTTTTTTGACCAAGTAAAATATTTCTCTTTGTAAATATTTAAATATTTGTGAGTGTGTTTTGCATATGTGCACGTCAGTCCACGTCAGCACCCATGACTATTTGGTAAAATTCCATCCAAATCCTGAACAAAATGGGTTGACTAGTTGCTAAGAGATATAAATCAACAAGAACAAGTCATGTTTTTTTATGAATAAAAATAACTTTATATCTACAATAAACAATTATCTAGTGTCAACATATCAAATAAAAACCATTCTACCCAAATACTTAGGAGAAGGTACAAGATTACATCTCTCTCCCCACTTTCCTTAGCTATTTCACATATCGTAGATCACATTGTAAATGAAATGCAGGGCCTATACACCCACAGACATAGACCCAAAGACTTGTCCTCCCTAGTAAAATTGTCTATACAGGAAATAGTTTACAAATTGTCTTTTCCAAGATTACAAAATCATTTTGAATGACACTATGGTAATCACAGTTCAAAGCCAGACAAACCAATTTTAATATCTCTAATTGATAGAAGCATCAGAAAGGAGTGACGGGTATCACTTTCCCTTATACATATATCATTTTTAAATGAAGACCTACTGGCCACATTAATGCCGGGAGTATCACTTTGCTAGAAAGAAAATACATTTTGAATCTCAAATTATCCAATTTTCTCAAAAACAAGTGCACCCTCATGACCGAAATTCATAATAAAAAGAATAATTTCAGCCATTTTAACAGATCAGAAGCAAGCAGTGAATATTGCAGACTTGATGAAAACCTTTTTTTTTCTATCTCAAAAGCCTACCATATCTATTACTTTTTTTCTAATGAAATCTGAATCTAACAGCTGGTACAATAGTAGTCTTCTCATGTAGGAAATATTAACAACAAAAACGGAAATATAAAAAACATTTTGTTCACTAAGGCAACCGGGCTCATTTACCTACCTATCTAATTGTTTCTATCTACAATTATACCTAGATCTACGTAATTCCTTCACTGAAGGAGTCTGTATGAACGCGAACACCTTAGTTCCTAAGCCTCTGGCTATTCCTGATCACCATTAAACCACAGTCAACTAGTTAATTGTCTTATACTTCTAGGACTAGATCTGTATCAGATTCAAGTGCCCTTTTGTCATAATTGATGCAAATTTTGTCAGAAAATGCATGAAACACAGGCATTATAACATTCATCTATATTTAGAGTACTTAACTCCTTGACGGAAGATAATAAATCCAACATTTAAGTGCACGTCCCGTGTCCATTTATTTACCTTATAACTATCACTGGACTAGTGACTTGTATTGATATTTACCTTTTATTACTCTGTTGTTGGTTCAACAATCCTTTTTGTCATAACTGATACAAATTTCTATGTAAATACATCAAACATGGGGGGAATCTTACCATTTGTGGTTATACAGCCAAATAATTAATTCCCTCACTCTAGCATTTTAGTTTACCTAACAACCAGTAATCACAGTATCAGATCAGATCACTAACTTGAATCTCTTGACATGCTTTGTTTTTTCAAAAATTTCCTTATCTGAATTTTTTGGTATAATATTTCGATTGCCATTATTTTATCATCACTGATACACCATTGTCAATACTATCATACAAAAATATTGCCTGGAGAATAACTTCAGCTGAATTTGAACTCTTATTTAACTGATGTCTATCTAAATTGCAATACAGTATTACTGTACAACATAGTGCAGAAAAAATGTATTTTTAGAGAGGTTCATGGGGTGTCAACGGCAAACCTCTTTGGAAGAGATATTATAATACAGATACTAGACAGCAAAGCTGGCACATAATCAATTTTTCAAAAAATCCAGACACTTTCCAGTACATAGCAAAAAAAAAAATGCATAGAAAGTGTCACAGGAGAATGTAAATTTGGTTTGAAAGAAATGTTGTTAACAATTTCTTTCTATCAACAGTTCTTAAAAGCATTTGAAAACATGATGAATACTGCTTAAAATGAAAGACTAACGACAATTTAATTTTTTTCACAAAGAAGAATAAATAGGCAATGGATGAGCTTCTGTATTAAACACATACTTATCTAACGGTATTAGTTTTGGGTCATCACTAAATAATAAATAAAAGTATTTCAAAGTCTCCCCAAGAAAGAAACTTTCCATCTTGTTTCTTGGTCTTGGGTTACGCACGTCCATGACGTTACTAATAGATGTGTAGCCTTCTTCTAGTTTTGTGTATTTCTCAAAAGCTAGGAAAATTTTCCATCCCCACTCTCTATATTTTTTGTCTCCAGTAAATCTATACATGTAAAACAAACTCTCCACTGTCTCTGGCCTCAGGAGATTGTGGCGATCAGCTGGCTGTAATATAAAGAGACATTGGTACATTCTTGTATAATAGACTATAATAGAGATATTATTAATAACTCCCTAATATTAATAAGCATGGGATTAACAAGGCAAATATTTTGTTTAAATATTTTTTTTTTTATTTGGCAAATATTTTGTTAAAATATTTTTTATTTACCAAGACATTTCTTAGTGAACAAAATTCTGTATTTTCAACTGAAATAAGCCCATCTTTTTTTTCAAAGGCATTGAGATGGGAAATATTTTTTTTCAAAATTTACACTTATTTATTATTTAAGGTAGAAAAAATTTACCTTGACAATAATATCATCAGGTGCTCCAGGAGCCTGGTTGAAGTAGGCAATCTCAGGACTCAACCCTGTGGGCATTTTCTCATACATCTGGTAACAAGTATATAGTAATTTCTTGGCCAACTCCATGTGTTGAGGATCAAGACCATTGATATGACCTAGAGCTAATGTTCCTGGTAAAAAGCAGACTAGATGGTCCTGAAAATGTTGAAAATATAGGCATTGATATGTAATTGTAAAACAAAAGCAGAAATATGTTCATGTCATTAGTTTATGGACTTTTTAAAAGCTAACAGGACAAAAACATTTCAGCTTGTGTTCTATAATTATCATCTATGATTCATCTACCATGCCAAGGAACATTTTAACTCTAAGACATTGCATCTAAGATATTTTTGCTCTTAGACTAATGAAAGACATTTAGTTTATAAATGATGGAGACAGTGTTACTTGGATCTCTCTCTCTCTCTCTCTCTCTCTCTCTCTCTCTCATTTACAACAATGTGTTGTCTCCTCACCATTTTAGGACTGAACATTGACCCAGATAGCAGCTCCCCTACATATGTCAACTTGTTAGGTTCAGTAAGTCTGACTAGATGCTTCTTTATACCCTCCACGGATTCCACATAATCATCTTTCACCCTGGAAATAAACGGAAGAAGGCATTTTATTATGTGGAGTATGGAAAGCTACTATATTGGTAACTTTTTGTATTATTATTATTATTATTATTATTATTATTATTATTATTATTTCTTAGGAAACCTGGGTAAGTACACACTGCTAGCTCAGCAGCAAATGAGATGAATACAAAGTTTGATGTTAAGCTGCAGAACTGAAATAAAATTCAGATGTCAACAAAATTATCAGCAGAATTAATTGTTGGCACACTGGGCTATCCTTCTCTGTCTAGTAGTAGTGAAGTGACCCCCTGTCCAACAAATGTGAAGTGAAGTGAAGTGAGCCAAGTAGCGGAGAAGTGGAAGGTTTATATAGTGTACCCTGCTGGTAGGGTGTCCACAGGCAAAACTGTTCACTTTAATACAGGTAACACTGAACAAGTAACAATGAAATGAACTCAGTAAAAACTTCTTTCGAACCGCCCCTAATCTCCCTGGCAACGGGCCTGAATTCTAATATTTCAGTTACTTACATATCATAGGTTTTCCCACTCTGCACCCACATTTTCAGCAGATATTCATAGTAACTGTCCCCTCTGGCACCCAGTGTAATGGTGCCTGAAGACCTGAGATTCCCAGTCCTAGCATTTATGAAAATCGGCACCAGACCATCTTTCTTGGGCAGACCATGGACGTGTTTTGTGACTTCATCAGCAGCCAGCTGTAAATCAAGCATAATTTTACTATTAGTTTCAATATTATAACTTAAACTTCACGAAAGATGGAAATGGGAAACTTGCATAAGAATCAACCTTTTTTATGCAAAGTGAAAATATAAGAAATACAGGTCATAAAGCATGTATTTATATGGTGCTTATCTCTTTGGCAGGCAATTGGTAAGAAATCAGAAACCTTCAGAACAATGTTGAAGACATTTATTTAAATCTAATCGTAACATTGCAGTTATACCCATATCAAATCAGTTTTTATAACTAAACTCAGTGGGTTCCTGAGAACACCTTTCATCTAACTGTACAGCTTTCAATGCTACAGATGGATTACATTCTTTAGCAGAGCAGTGGGAACAAGCTGAGATGTTATGGATGGTTGGCTCAACTTTTCAAGAGAACACAAACATACTTCAATCAATCAATCAATAAATCAATTATCAATCAATCATTTCAACTGAAGTCAACCATCTCCACCATCAATTAAGCATCAGCATAACTAGATTTCCAGACCCTGCGGTCCTCCACGAGACTGGCAATCTCAGTTGTATTCTGTAAACATACTTACAGCATACTTAGGATCTCCAGTTATCTTGCTGAGATCACGGAACTCCAGCTGTATGGTGGTCACCTCCGAGGTGCTGCTGTCGGGGCCCCACCTGGGGGGGTGCGCCTTGTGGGTCTTCAGGTTGACGTCAGAGAAGGGCACCTTGGACCCGCTGCCAAAGGCTGGCAGGAGTCTGTCCCCTAAATCTCTCTGTTGTAAACAAAGTTGATAAAAAATTTTTTACATGGTAATGAATATTTTCAAATAGTGAATCCCTGAGATTTTCAGATTCCTTTTTTTTTTCTTTGTAATATCCTTTATCTCTCTATTATAAACAAGATTTGTAAATTATCTTCAGACAGTAATGAATACTTCCAAAGTAGTGGTATATTATTCGTTACATCACCTACATAACAAAAAATATCTTTTAATAATAGACAAAAATGAAACCTGCTAGTTCAAGTATAATGAAGAACAGATTAAAATGAAAAAAGTTCTAGTAAACATTTAAATCAGAAGAAAAAACTCATGGTCTCACATTGCTATAGCACATTCACAGAAATAACTGAGATAAGGAAATGCTGACTATTCCACTCACAGCTTTATCTAAAAACATCTGGTCCTTTGTCAAGTGATAAGCACTGAGAAATCCACCCAGAACTCGAATAGTGCACTCAAATAGGTTGACATCCCGGTTCACATCAAGGGACATTTCATTGGCAACCCAGTCTCTGGCCTCCTTGAATTCTGAAAAAATAAGGGTTATATCAGTAATGGCAGCCCACCATGTTAATATGGCTTGAAAAAAAAAAACAGCTCAAAGTATCTAAAATCACCTTGCGAATCAATGTAGTGACAAATTACTCCACTCACCTTCTTTTAATCCCATAATATACATTGTGTCCAAAGAATCAATCAGAGTAAGTCCCACACCAAACCACTCTTCAAAATCTTTAGAAATGGGCCTCAGCTGGTCGTGACCCCAGGCATACTTCTTGTAAGCTTTCCAGGCATGTCTGAATGCATCAACCACTGCTTTCTGCTGATTGTTTTTAGGACCTTGAATAAACCACAATAAAGGTGTCGATTAATTTACCCTCAACTAAAGCCACATTCACAACCAATATTGACCCGTGGACTAACAGATCCCCGGATCGAATATGGCTGACCTACTTGATTCACAGGGAATCTATTCAGTGTCTATCAGAGAATTATGGGGCAAACTTTCAAGTGGGTGTTCTGTATACGCCCTAAGAAATAAAAATACTAAGAAATTAACAAAAGAAGAACATAAGATAACCATGACAAACAAATAATTGGAATTTTTTACAGTATTAACATCATTTTTAAATCTGGATTTGTGTATTATTACATCAAAGCTACTTAGAATCACTCTGAAAGTTTTAAGTCTCACCAGAGAAGGGATCTCCATCAGTTTGCACTGGGGCAGGAGAGACATATTTGGCTTCAACTTTGCCTTTAACATCATTAGTATCAGCTTCCTTTTTGTCCTTGAAACATTAAAAATAGATGCAAATCATGGTTAATATTCTACTAATCAAGACCAATGAGATATTGTAAGGTATTACCTCCAAATATTTCAATAAATCATTGTATATTTTACATTAACTACATACTTACTAGTAACTAAATAAATGCAATATCCTCCCATTTAAAATAGGCATACCATTTCTGTGTCAAGTATAAAAATGGCAGTTCAAAATGAAATAATTATTTTAACAGGACACTTTTTTCTTGTAATCATAAATTTATTTAACCAATGCACATTTATATAGCCACAAGGCATTGCAGTGTTTCTAGTTTTGAATAATGTCTCAATATTATAATATTCAGTAACATTTCTCGAAAAATCTCCATCCCCAACAGTTTAACCCTGGGACATATTTTAAACACTTAATGCAAACATGACCATAAGCTATGGGTTTTAAAAACTGAAATGCACCATGTAATAATATGTTACCTTCACAGGTGTGAGCACTACATTTTGTTCTCCAGGTGGGGCATGCTGTTGGTTATCTTGTCCTTTATCTCCATCTCTAGGACCCCCTGGTGCCTGTAAGCTGCCATCATGCAGTCTTTTTCCCGGAGGACCCTTTTTTTTAATCTTCAAAGTTGTTTTCTGTCAGTGTGAAGAAATTAAAATGGAATTTGTAGAAAAAACTGTGGTAAACTGGTAGATACAGTTACGATGTTTGAATTATGAATAAACAACTGATATTGGAAGTGCCATACTGAGACACACAGGGATGGTATAATATAAATATTATCAAAATTTTTTTTGCAGGAAGGGCAATCCTATGTGGCATATTAGCCAACAGTATGTGACAAATTGCAGTTTGTTGTACTTGCTACTTTACAGATATAATATTGATAAAAGAAACTTACTTTTTCATCCTCAAGTTGCTTTTTAGCTCTTCTCTTCAATTCCTCAAGGTTAGGTCCTTTAATCTCCTTCTGCCGATTCAAATCACCTGCCTTAACATCATCTTTATGCCAGGGCTTCTTGGAAAGTTTGTCTAATTCATCTCTATCCTGTAGCATAGATGGCACCAAGTAGAGGCAGGACAAAGCTCCAAGTATAACTATCAGCCATACCACACTTCTCTGCAGTCTTGAGAGACGATTCCATTGCTACAATATTAAGAAGGAAAATATAACGAAAAGATTTCATCTTTTATGTCATGTCTCTTGAGGCCAATCTTCAATGTATGCACCCAGAGTATCTTATAAACCTTGGCAGGTGGTAGGGTAATCAGCTGCTGAATATTTGACGCAACATATCACTATTTGACCTATAAAATTTACTGTTTACTTGCTTTTGTTTGAACTGGTAATCAAGCTAATGAACAAGGAGCATTATTCTACAGCTTTAATTTGGGCAATGCATAACCCAAAATCTCACACAAAGATCAGTAGTTTTAACAGAAAACAAACTAGGTCTGACCCAGCTTGCTTGTGAGCCCGGTGGGTGAATAGATCTATTAACAATGAATGGTGAAAATTGATCAAAAAAATTTTGGCGTTAATTTAATCAATAATCTATAATCAAAGCAAAAGCAACATACAGAACATATCTTTTTTACTGCAGATGCATGGCTTTAATTCAGATATCTTCACAATCGGCCACGACTTCACAATCGGCCACGGTTGTGCGGAACTTTTGCGGGGAGTTAGTAGTACTACTACTAGAAGGGACAAAATTATGTGAAACACCTACCCTCCATAAAGAAGCACTCCTGACTTGCTTGCTGTTGTCATAATGCCCATATGGGTTACCAAGCGATATGGCAGTGTAGTCTTTACGATCAACTGAAGACCACATGATGAGAAATACCAAGCATCAAGCCATTTTCGCCCAGTCTATGTTCACTGCCCACATCACAGGCCTTCGAATGGATTGTCTTCAAGTACCCACTTTTCTTGTAGGTAAAGTACTTCCGGTTAAAACGTGTTGGAGAAAGTATCTATATGATTGGAAATCTATTAATTTTTTCTGACAATTCTGATTTTGAATAATTTTATACTCACAACATATTGCTACAAATATTAGAGAAATATATGTTAACGTTAAGAGGCTTTCGGTAACGACAACCATAAATTGAATCGCTCGTACCCTAGTGCCCTCTACCGTGAAAACGCAGCAACAGCAGGAAAGTGTCATCTGCTGGAACTACAAGTGGAAGTCGATCTGCGTCTCTTAGATATTCTTTTGTGAAATGTATTCTTTTTCATCAGCCGTCCGATAAAACTGAGCACAGGGTAAGAGCCAATTCTATGGGCTTCTCACTGTTTCTGGAACTTCATTTCCAAGGGAATAAGTTATGAAAGTTTCAGCACGAATCTTGTATCAAGTTGTAAATTTGTGATTTGGTGTGGTAGTGTTTACATTTATATGCTTGTACTTCAACTGTTCCACTGTCCGAGTACTATTTGCTATGTTTTGAGTTTAATTGTTAGCACTCAATTCGTTCTTATTCGCAGAATGGCTCTGGAGAAAAGGTGCACACTACCTGTAGATACAGGGGAAGGAACCCTCTTATGTGTTTGACACTGAAGACCAGCATGGCTGACAGAAAGGCTGAAGAGAAGAGCCAAGAGGAGGCTACTCTCCCACCTGGCTGGGTATTTAAAATATCCAACCGTCACAACAGAGTTTATTACTTTAACATTGCCACGGGGCAGTCTTGTTGGGAATTACCAAAGGAGGGGAAGGAAAAGAGAGTAGGCATCTTATGTTTTAATAAATTATATCCTTTTAGGCCCATTCTAAGACTGACTTACTTTCGTATAAATATTTGACTATACATATATATATGCCTAGATGATATCAAATTATTTCATTTTCTTTTAGTAACAAATTGTTATCAAATTAATATCATACCTAGAAGTAATCTGTTCTTGCGTGACCATTTGTATTAAAAATTTTGCATCACATAAAATGCTATGGTGAAAATTCATTGAGTGCTGAGTATCTGAGTATCTGGATTTAATATGGGTTAATCTTCTGTGCATTTTACTGAATAATTTAATCATGTCAAATAACACTGCATTGATCATATATAATTTCAAGCCTCTTTACAAAAATGTGGTTCTCATTGTTAGGCAGCTTGCAGCAGCCATAAATTTGAAACGATTCCTGGAGCTTCATCAAGCACAAGACCTCCAGAGACTCCCGTGGTGGACAAGTTAGCTCAGCAACATCAAAAGAAGAAAAAAAGGAAGAAAAAGAAGAAACCTAGAAGTAAAGCAGCACAGCAAACGTTACAGACAAGTTTTGATCCATGTGCCAACACTCATGCAGGACAAAGGAATTTGTTAAACACCCCACAAATAGTGACCAGGAACAGAGCCCACAATGAGAAAAGATTCGAATCTCAGGCTAAAAAATGTCCATCAGTCTCTAAGAAAGAGCAAGGTGAAAGCACTGAAACGGGAACCAAAAGGCATTCATCAAGTACTGCGACTAGTGCAAATGATTTGGATCTAATAAACAGTTTGGTAGTAAATAAAAGATTAAAAACTCCTCATGGGTGTGTATCCACTAAGAATGATGCCACTGCAAACACATCAGGGACACAGAGAAGGAAATATTCTCCAACACCCCTTAGAGGAGACGTCAGTTCTTCATCTGCAGGTAGGATTGTTTCAGAAACTCCTAAGAACAAAGGTACATGGAGTCTTGTAGCAGCTGAGGAACAAAAAGTATCTGACAGATCACATAGAAAGAGTCTTATGCGTGCATTAAACATATCCAAACCCAATCTTAGTACTTCTAGTCTAGAGCCTGTTCCAAATTGCTCTGAGCAGATATCAGAATCTCCAGGATCTGACCATGTGTATAGAAATAAGATGCACAGTCAAAAGTCATTTACACCTAATACCAAGCCCTACACAAAACACAGAAACCAGGTTAGAAGTGAAACAAATAGGAATGAGGTCACACATCCAACGCTAAAGAGAGATATATCAGGGAAACCGTATACTGTTCAACCACAAAGTGCTGACACCAGTTCTTCTTTTCCAAAAGAAAGTACTTCCCTTGTGCCACAACCCCAGCAAACTGAACCTTCTGTGCCACTAGGGAACCCTAGTCCTATGTCTACCTCAGTTAAAACAAATCAAATGGAAATCTTTACACAAAGCAATGTCCACATGCAAGATAATCTTTTCACAAATCGGGTTCAAAAAGTTGACGCCCAATGTATGCAGATACCAAGCCATGCAGTGTCTCCAGGAAATTGTCCACTGAACCAGATGTCGCCTGATATCAATAGGTGCTCAACACCAGAGGGCAGACTTCCAAGAGGCTCCTCCCCCTTTGATTTAAAGAGTATTGTACTATACAGGCAGCTGCCAGACTCTGTGGATAAAGCGGTATATATAACATTATGTACTGTTGCATCTGTATATTTTACTTCAATTTTGCCTGTGCTCATTTTTGGCTATTGTTACTATACACATCTATTGCACATATATATATTTTTTTATTTAATTTGTAATTTCCAGATAAAATGTGAACTTCATAATATTTGTTAAATGGAATTTATATCTTGTTTTCATCATAGCATTTCTTTCTTAAGTATATCTGTGCTTCTGACTTATTTGAGTCACTGGGTACTTTGATTTTGATGACAGTATTAAGTTTTAATTTTCCATTAAACAGGAGTTATACATGGTGCTTGACACAAACATTTTGCTCAGCCATTTGGAGTTTGTAAAGGAAATCTTAGCACACCTCATTCCAGGTATTTACATTTATGATTACAAAGAACTTTTCACTTCCTAGTAAGAGTAGAAATATGTTAGAAAAGATTCTAATTAATGGAATTCCAGATATGTATGTCTTTATTTTTTAGCAGCCAAGGTATTTAGTAATGTAGTTGCCAGGTAATTCATGTATATGTGATTTTGATCACACATGTATGTGCATAACTGAATTAAAGGGAAAAGAAGGGATTGTTAGAGAGGTTTAGTGTAATTAAAATATATACTTACAATGATTATTGATCAGGGATAGGCAGACCAGTGCTTGTGATTCCTTGGGTGGTCATTCAGGAGCTGGATTATTTGAAGGACAATAAAAAGGTAAGTGTTCAAAGACTGCGTTCACAACAGGGGACTAAATAGTCTGCAGAACAAATATGACGACCCAGTTAAAAGCTTGTTATCTAAAAAAACGCAATCTACTAATAGTAGATGTCCCCTATACTTGTGAGCAGGTTGAGAATTAAGACTAGAATAGCCTGAGGTATTCATCCTCAATATTTGTAGGAAACCAACATCAAGAGGAAAGCATATGCAGCAGTCAAGTTTTTACACGAAAGTTTTAAGATGAAACGACCACATCTCATAGGTCAGACACCACAAGAGGTAAGTATTACATCATTTTTCATTAGGTTAATTAATTTTAGCAATACAATAAAATAAACAAAAAATAAGTTGAAAATGAAGAACAATAATTAGGAAAGATACAATAAGTTATCAAAGAAATATATGAAAGTGGCTCAAGTTGTTAATTTTGGCATTGGTGCTCACAAATCTGAGACCCGATTCCAGAAATGCCTAATTTGTTTATAAGGCCTGTTCTAAGAAGTCTGAATTTTCCTGAGCAACTAAAAGAATGTTCTGAGCTCTCGGCGAAACTGTACCCTCAGCTTATGATTGGCTGATAGTAATGAAGCCAAGTAGCACTGTCCAATCATGGTGCAATAATATCTCTTTATCCTTCCTGGCACGTGTTAGTGATTAAAGATAAAGAGTTAATTAAAAGAAGAGACACCCTGTCTATAATTAAAGAACAAACATCTGGAGCTTCTCTTTATATGATCCCAACTCTATCCCTTGGAAGTTTCACATAAATCCTTTTATTGTGACCAGTAAATTGTGTTTAGTCATTCAAAGCAACAAAACAGTCTATTAGCTCAAGTCTTTCTTGTTATGTAATGTATACTCAGTATTTATAGTGTTCAGTACATCTTTGTACATCTATTTTACATCAGTCTTCCCAGGACCTTCAAGGTTTCAAGATAGAGAATAATGATGACAGGTTGCTGCAGTGCTGTTTACAGTTCAGACAAAAATGTAAGTGAAGATGTACCATGCCAATGTAAGTTTATTCAGAGATATTATACAGTGAATGGAAGTGCAAATCTAAAGAGCTAAAATTGTAGCTGAAAATGCTAAGTCGATAAATCTACACATAGTAAAATATTTTTCTTACTTTATATGCTTTGGAGTCTTGAATGTTTTTATATAATTATGCAGTCTGCGAACATGAATGCTTCTGGGTATTGGAAAGTATAATCATATTTCGTTTTAATAAAGATGGCATTTAAAATGTCAATAATTAGGTGTGTATATTACATACTGAGATGTTCCCTAAGCCTGTGCTTTGGAAACCCTAGTCTTAATTCATAAGCTACATATAGCAGCCACCATTGTAAAACCTGTTTGAAATATCACACAACATGTTTTCTTTAAAAAACAATACAATGCTGTTACATGGTCAATTTAAACACCCTGTTTTTCAGATCCTAGTTCAAAGATAGTTGTTTTCTCCAATGACACTAACCTGTGTACCAAGTGTATGATCACGGGATTTCCTGCCTTTAACAGACAGGGTATTGTAGAAGGCATGCAGCAAGAGAACAGAGGAACACCTTTTGATACAGGAGCAGCTGGTAAGTATCATAAATTAGATATAATTGTAGTTTTTGTCATTCAGTGCTGGGGTGGATCCAGAGATATATTTTCTGACAGTCTTCCAAGTTATCTTTGTTGATCTATTCTCTATTTTTGAGTGTCTTCTGACAGAAAAAATTAGATAACCGTCAATGAAAATTTGAAAAATCTGACCGTCTTCCAGAAGACAGCCTCAATCTGCCCCTGGAACAGGCAGAAAATCCCAACCATTTTACACTTCTAATCAGAATTCATAATATCAGCATTTTAATGAAGCTAAGTAATGTGGAAAATATACATGTACTTATGAGCCTATATAACAATCACAGTGCACTTGTTCCATGTGACTCAGTTGAAGCAGAGCAGCTGGGGCCAGTAAATGTTGCCAGTCCTCATGAAGTGTATACTGTGCCTACTACAGCACCATCTAGTGACAAAACACAGAACTGTGTTGAAGCTGTAGTAGAACCCAAGAAGAAAACTAGACAGGAGCTTGAACTTGAGTTGGTAATGATATTATGCCATTGTTGTTTGAATAAATAAAAGACTGTTTATATACTTACAGGGGAACAGATCTTACTTATTTTAAGTCAGATATGAAATTTGCCAGTTTAAAATTCCTGTTGCATACTATCTCTCTTTTTTGAAAAACAATATGAAGATCCTAAATAATTTTTTTAAAATTTTAATGTATCTGTAGTATTTGTTATTAATTGTTTAATCTTACTTTTGAGACAGTATTCAAAGTCAGTCATATTAAGGCGGACATTTCAGGTTGTAATATGCTCAAGATGCTTTCCATTGTTTCTTGAAAATCAGTATTGTTGTGCATGTTGTTACAGCATGCTTTTTAAAACATTAATATAAATGTTTTTATAATTTTCTTTTTACAGAGTGAAGATGTCACACAAGAAGTAATGTTAACTCTGAAAGATTCCCTGAGCATGGTTCTGGAAAAAGAGATGAAGGAGGCATTTGGTGATATCTGGTAAAATAATAACTCTGAATTGAAGATTCATGAGATTTGTGAATTCCCAATTCATGATGTTAAAGTTAAAAATTTGATTTTTGGAAAATCTTAACTTTTAAACATGCATACCCATGTACTGTTTCTTACCTATGTCACCAGCTTCATGATGTCAAAACACAGTTGATAAGTGTTCAGTATCTTCATTGGCAGGACTGTATACGTATAGGAGTTGTTTTAACAAATTTAGGAGATTGTTTTGCATGTACATGCATAAGAGGGAGAAATAACACCAGTGTTTTTTATTCTAGGCAGGAAGTAGTTCTCAGGAAGCCACCTTGGACACTGAGAGACATTCTGGAGTGCATTGACAAGTTAGTACAATTAATTTATATTTGAAAATGGATAACTAGTTTGGGATCCCACACACCCACACACCCACACCCACACGCGCACGCACGCACTTGCTGTAAACCCTCGTAATTGACTTAACACTAATAGTGGGCATCAGGGGTGTGTTTACTGAATTGGAACAATTTTTTTTCTTTTTAAATATTGTAAATATTATATATATATAAAGGATAATAGAAATATATTTAATTTTATGTTTTTTTCCTGTTTTTTAGGCACTGGATGGCTGTGTTTGGGATGTTTCTGAACAGGCAGCTTTCTCAGGTGGTGAAGCAACTTGTGCAATATTTCAAGAGTGCTCTAGGTATGTTATGCCCTTTGACTTATGAGATTTCAAAACTTGACACTTGTTTAGAACTAAATTAATAGATTTCTCTTTAAGAACCATGTTGCTTGTAGTTTGTCTAAGTATCAAATCTCAAATTGCTTACTAGTATAATTTATAATGAATTGCCTTATTTCCTACATGGGCGTGCTGGCCAAGAATGGATTGATTTGAGTATAAAAATATTGCATCTGTTGTTCTCCAGGTAGAAACCCCAGTCTGAATCAGGTGAAAACATTGATGTCAGACAGTCTGAAATTCTGCAAAGAATTGAGGAGTAAGTCAGAGTAAGTACAGATCACAAGCCATTCATTTTGAATATAAACATTGTCTATTACAAACAACCTCATGCAGATACAGGATATTTAAAAAGAGGGGTTCTAAATACCTTTCCCTGGATGTTTACCCATCTATATTAATTCTAATCAAATAAAAAATATGCATTTTGAATGGTCATTACTAGACAGTATTATCATGATTGCTTTTGCATAACCTGGTATTGAAATTAAAAAAAAAAAAAATCACGTTCTATGCAGCCAAGATAAATGTGTTTTACATTTGTCAATAAGCAATACAACAATTGATCTCAGAATACCCTTTTTCCAGTTATGAAGGTAAATTAACAAAAACCATCCAAAGACTTGAGCAACTGTCAGCAGTATGCTCCAGTGTCATGAGTGGTGCTGTGGAACCCTGTGGACTCAGTCAGCTAGAAGACCAGATCAAAAGTCATGACACTTGCTTAGATGATTCCAATAATGGAAATTACCTGAAAGTACCAGAAAATGATAGACAAGATGTTGTTTTGTCACAAAGTGTTGAACTAATGGAGACATTGGAATCTACATCAGAGGACACAATCGATATGCCGTCTCAGTCTTCATCTGTGATACATGCGCATTCTGCACCATCTCCCACTTTGCAGTCCGTGTCTGTTTTGGATCCAGAAAGTGAGCAAGCCATTTATTTCAAGTTTCAGAGTATATGGGAAACTATTCATGAATACAGGTAATGCAGATGATGATGGTTAATTTTTCCAGTGGATACAAGCACATTTTGGTGTAACTGTAGTTTCATAACTATTAATTGCATCACCTTGTGCTCAGAATTGTACAGTGCCTAGCTACAGCTGTCCTCGTATATTACTCTTTTGGTACACATAGTCTCAGTGTTTACAAAGTTTGCACTATTTCTTATGATCTGAGAGTTTGATAACTCATCCAAGTTAACTTTGTAAACCTACATCATTTTGAAATAATTTATAAAATATTATGTCATCTACCCCATCTATGAACTAAAATATACAATTGTGTGGTTTGTGTGTACTCAGTATGTGTAGATGTGGCATATTTCCTTCTCCTAAAGTAACTGAAATTCATTTATCCTTTTACTTCATTGCAGCCAAACTATAGAGACAGTCCTGAGTGGCCATCCCATTCCTGTGCCGTCCCCGTCCACCCCCAGCAGAGAACAGGCTGTGGAGATGCTAAAAAGACTATATACCATGTCCCTTGAGCTCAAGATGGAATTTATCAAGTATGCTTATTATTGTTGTTGCTTTTTTTTTCCACAGTCAGCTGCACTGTTGGTGTGTGTATGATGGTGTGTTGTGATCCTGTCTAACTGTTTGGCTCCGTGGTTATCCTTTTCTTGCACTAGAACAAATAACTGGTATAAATTTTGAACCTTAATTATTATAAAAATTAATTAATGAAAAAATTACTTTCAAATTCATCAACAGTGGTTTTACTGTGAATTTGAATCAGTTTTTACTCTGGTCCTGTTGATTTTATGAGGCCAGCTCTGCAGTAGGCCCTTATGGTCATTTTTTTTAAATTAAAGCATATTAAACATTTCCTGTAAAAATGTCATTTCTGTATTTCAGTTTCCTGTCTGTTCCAGTTCCTGAAGCCAATCTACATCCAGAGGAATTTTTCTCATTTTGCCAAGTATTAAATCACTTCTTAGACTATTTGGATGTAAAGGTAAAACAACAACCATGCTTTATTTGAGGTGTAAATTCTGCATGTTTTCATTGTATGTGAGAAAACTTATTCTTCTTTTATAATACTGCAATGAAAACATCCGTGAAAGCTCATAAAGGCATGTTTGAAGACCGTGTGTGTTGGGACAAAGTTGTAAGATGTGTAAGTAAATGTACCAATATGTCATCCAGCCCATGGGCAGGTGCAGTTTTTATAGTACAGAGTTAATATATTTACTTATAGTATATCAAACATTATATGGAAGGCTGTATTGCCATAATCCAAGTTATTTTCCTGTAGAAGGAGGCCCAGGGTCCCAATGTCCACCCAGAGAAGTTACTGCTCTATTTTCTCAATGACAGCAGGAGAGAGGGGATGGTAAATGGACTGGCACAGCTCAGTGAGATGATTCACAGAATGGGAAACTGTGGTCTAAACCTACAGGTCCACTGACTCTGCATACCACTAGGAAGGTGGTTGGCGCAAGCCAAATACAACAAAACTTGAGTGTTTGTCTGATAAGATGACAAATTAACAAAACTCAAGAAAAACTTGCTGTTGCAAAATTTGGCTGTGATTGTGGATATTTAAAGGTGATTCCTCTTGACTAATTTTGTTTTCAGGAAGGAAAGCTCAACAATCTTACGTATAAAGTTGTAATAGTTAAAATTGAGTCTGGGACACCAAACATTTTTAACATTTTAAATCGAGGCATCATCGCTTTTTGTGGTTTATTTACAATCTAACGTTTGAATACCTAATGATGGAGAGATTCCAATGTAGGATAAAAGAGAAGTGCAATGCATGGTTGTTTCAGGTCTGCATAATAATAAGTTCATCACTAGTGTTATTTTTATGTGTTTGTTATGAGAATGCTTTTAAAAGGTTGCATTTTTCTAAAAATTACATTTTCCATTCAGTGTTGTCATCGCTGCTAGACGTCTACTGGTTTGAACACAAAATTAATTTGTTTCATATAAATTTACTGGGTTTGTTTTAGTGAAAATACAGATCAAGCTCAAAACATCACTTGCTTGATTCATTTCGGAGTTATCACAATTTTGTATAATATTCAATATATTTTTGTACCTGTTAGTCAAATATTTACCTATAATAAATTTTCCTGTTTGTTATTGGATTGGTTTTTATTTACCATCTCTTAAAGGGTTTGTGGAAAAGACATTTAAAATGAATTTTTATTTGACAGACATTTTTCAGAATCCTTTTCAATTTTTATGCACTCCCACTTTGGAAAAAAGTTTTAAACATCATGCTAAAAACACTTTCATATAAAAACATTTATTTCTATAAAAATAAACATATTCCAACTATAAAAACAGAACTAGATCTACATCTACAACAAGCCCCTTCCCCTTTCTTTAGAATTTATTTACATGTTTCAGTACATCATATTGCAAATTGTCTTACATGGGTGAAACTGGGAAGAACTGGAAATCCTGAAAATATACCCTTTCTCACTGCATTCAGACCAACTGAAAACAGCCATCACAGGACCACTTCAACACGATATGAGAGAATTTTTTCCTCACAGTTAAATGCAATGATAGCAGCTACAGCATAAATGTCAGTTTTCAATCTTGGGCTTCTTTGTAACGTGTTCATCATCTTTATCATTCACGCTTTTATTAACCGTGTTACTACTGCTATCAGCGGATACCCCCTTTGCCAAGTTAACATTTGCACTGGACTTTCTCTTACTGCTAGATACTGCACTGGAAGAATCTTGAAGTTTTCCCTTCCCCAGCCACGCCTGCATCATATTGGCACTGGCAGAAGTCTTCTTTTTGCTAAATTAAAAATAAAATTAAATAATCATCAGAGATATAATAATTTAATCTTTTAAGATTAAAACATAATCTAACAATCTATTAATGAATTTTACTTAATACGTCTAATATTTTCACATGATAGAAATGTGAACCATGCACACTGTCATCTGTGAATTACACATTTTCTCCCTAAATTTTTTTCATTAAAAAAAAAACATTAAACATATTTTGAGAGGCCAAAGTTGCCTCCTGGGTATGAACCAAGTGACTTTCTCTGAAGCAAGCTGCAATACCCAAAAAAATATTTCAAGCTGGAAGCACATTTCCACAAATGCCAAATTCTACCTACTTGAGGTCGACAGCCTTCACACATTCTGGAGAGTTGTTTCTGGAATTATTCACCAATGTGGACACTGGGTGATACTGGAGACAGGATGCTGGATGAATGACACTTACTGCCTGAAACAATATAAATCACACCTTTGAGGAAATTTCTTCTACATCATAGAAATAACTTAATTCTGATCACAAAAAAGGTCAATTTACTCTCAACTGTTTGTTTGATTGTTTTTGTTTGTTTGTTTGTGACCTCATTTCATGACTTGAAAAATTTTGTTCAACATTTGTACAGCTGTGTTAATTATTTAATTTTTTGCTTCACGACTGACATTTACTGTCTTTATTACAATTCAAACAATATGCCCTAGATATGCATACAATATGATGTGACACCTGACAAACCTCTTTCAATGGCACCTCCCCAAAGTCCAACCACTGTTTCACATCTTCATCAGTCTCCAGTATGGCCTAAACAAAGAACATTAAGTGGTGCCAGATCAATGTGTTTGAATAATTGTATAAAAAAAATGGCACCACTGTGCCTCCTGAAAATCACCTTTACCTTAAATAGACAACAACCCTTCAGTTTAGTGGGAAAAGGGTCATAAAATGTATCTTCCTGTAGTAAAGGATGATGGTTAATGAATCTGTTTAGACGTTCAAAGTTAGTAAATCTTTTTTTTTTTTTTTTTTTTGGTAAGAATCTCTTAACAGATAATTACAGAGGGTAACAATCTATGTAGGTCCATGTACATTTATTGAGGAATTTTAAATCTCATATGAAAAGTTATCCCTTTCAGGATTCAGTTTTCTCAAGTGTTAACAGAGCTACTAAAGGCATACTGTGTTGATCACTTACTGGCATTCTGTGGTGGAGCCAGGAAAGGGAAGGGGAAGCCTCGACAGTGATAACACTGTAGGTGTATAAAGGTTCTCCATCCTAGAAATAAACTCAATGTCTCAGTACCAAGTATAGGTCTTTCAGACTGTAAAAACTGTTGCAAAACAAAGCAGCAAAGCTGTCAAATGTACAGACGACAAGAAAGAAAATAATCCAATCAAGTTGGTTCGCCAATTTGAGCGGCATGTCATTCATCCTTGTAATTTTTTTTCCATTTTATTTGTATAATAGTGGATAAAATGTGCTGAAAAAAGCAAAAAACAGCATAACTTTTTGAAAACTTTAATCAGAGAAGCCACGTGACTCACCTTATTATCAGATCCCTTCCACGTATCAAAAACACCTGCCATGGTGAGCAACCTGCTTCTATCACACTCATCTAAAATATGTAGGTGAAGTACATAAAGAACCTGGTGACAAAAATTAGACTACGAAAATTAATAAAGTAATTGATGCATGTTCATGTGCACTAAATCAGGGGGAGTGTAAAATTGTGAATTCTGACTATTTTTTAAAAAAACTTATATGTGAAAATCTCATTTATTACATTACCAGGCATTTAAGTTGTTGTTTTTGAAGACTTGTGGTCATGTAGATATTTAGTAATACAATGGTAATATCTATGATTCTATTATTTTCAGTTCTTGGCTATCTTCTACTATTTTCACCTGTTTTCTTTTCCTCTTCCTTTTCACTTTTCACTGAAACACCGAGTTCTTCAGTATCTGATGTTGCATCTTTTGGGAAATATATAAAATAAGGTTGCTTTTTGCCATCTTCAGTTGTATTCCATTCATAATACCTAAAACAAACCAGTATAAACATTTGATCTTATAACCTAATCTTTAGGAAAATAATTACTCCCAAGAAGTATATCTACACACAGCAATTTTTACCTGCAACAAAAATTTCAGAGGCATGAATTAAAATATAAATTTTCCTCTGTAAAAGCTATTTCATTTTTTACTTTTCTTTTATTCATTTATTTCTTTATTTATTGGGCATTTAGGAGACTTTCAAAATCTGCTAATCACAAATAATGTTTTAATCACAAATGTCATTAAACTTGTTATCATTGACCAAACCATGACAAAAAAACAAATTCAACTTAAATCGATTTATATTTGAGAAAAGATTGTCTTAAAAAAAATTTTTTTTTTTGAGATGTCAAACAACCCTGAGGAGATCCTTACCCATCAGCTAAGACCACACATCTCCCTCCTCTCTGTAGGGGCACCTTGAAGGAAGCTTTCTGTAGCATACTGTCACTTCTGCAGTTGTTCATTTTATATTCCACTTTATTTGGATCCCCTTTGTGCCAGCGGGGCACCAATCCCCAACGCATTGGCAGGATAACTCGCTCACATTCAGACGGTTCTTCAAAATGCTTTGCAGAGACTAAGACAGGCCTGTAAGATTTAAATGTTATGTACAGTACACACGTAATATAGATTCATACATTTTACTCTAACTGCATACACATATTCAACACTGTTTTGACTGAGATTAAGTATAGAAACATTCCACGGTATTTACTTTTTTTAGTATAACGAAATCAAATTGGGAACTAAAAAGCAAGGCTGGCACACATACAGTTACATGTACATTGAACAAAATGAATTTCACCCACTGACTACAGTGCCAATTAGAAATCAAATATTTGTCTATCTAAACATTGAAAACAGTGAAATTGTCTTTGGTGAACGAAATATATATGATGTGTGTGTGTGTGTGTTTTAATTTTTATAAAAATAATTGTCATATCTGGTATTTTAAATCGTGAATCAAAAAAGCGTACGTGTTTTGTCCTGGAGACATGTTAAAGGATGGCCGATACTTTCCCTCGTCCTGCCGCCAGTTTGGTTGTACTTTCTTTCCATTCTGCGTATACTGACATCTTTTGCATATTTCTTTTGGAGCTAAAGTGCTACAACAGAAATGTCACATTTTAATGCTTGAATGGATACAGCCAAGAATCCATCACCAGAAATGTTAAAACAAAAGTTTAAATCATATATAAGACAAGCCCTCAAAAGTCAAATTAACCTTCTCTAAACTACAAATTCAATTAATTGTACTCTGTGTGTGTGTGTGTGAGTGTGTGTGCGTGTGTACGACCCTGATGAAAACATGTCTTGGTCAGTCTAATAGTTTCAGTTTCAGTTTATTGAAACTCACAGCTAGCTGTGTACAATCGACAAAGAGATGCCAGAAATTTTCAAAACAACCATGTATTTAGTTTTGCTTTTATTAGAAACAAGTTTTACGTCTCTCATATTACTTTGAATTGTTTATATTCATTTTAAGATAAAATAAGACAAACGGGGTTTCCACTAATCCAAAATAGTGACAGTCGGTATCATTTTGGCCCGTTAGTAACGAAACATTTGGATGCAGAACAAAACCTTTGCATTTTTAGATGATGGTTCACTTACCAGGCCGTTCTCCCACACATGATAACCAGCTGTATGCAAAAAAAAATGGAGGGATTTGAAGTTTACTCTAGCTCAGCCAAATATATACACTTGCTGTACCCTCACCGGAAACGACATTCGGGTCATTGAGGTCAAAGAAACAACCAATCAGATGCAAGGATCGTGAAGCCTGCCCAGGCAGCAGCGCAGGCCTGCCTGAGTTTGTCAGGTTGCATTACTAAGCATGGATCTGAACATGTGTAGTGACTATTGCATTCTCTGCCTACGACTGTTGGGAAATCTTAACTTAAAGTCAAAACAAACTGTGCCTGGAATTTTGGACAACAACATTTCCTTGCACTTTTGTGCCATATTTTTAAATAAAAGTGCCTTGCTGTTTAGTTTGGGGTAGTGGCGTTGTTCCCGATAATTAACTGACTAAAAAGGGGGGGGGACCCACGTTTGACCAGTCAATATTGATAGAATGTCAACAAGCGCCACTGACCATAAATTGTAGGGAAATCAGAAGATTTTTCTGCATTATTTAAACAAATGTAGGCTAGTCTGTTCTGGATTTTTTAGTATTGATCCCACCAAAAAAAAAACTGTTTTTGGTTTTGTGCCACACTGTGGACTTAAATTGGCACCTCCACGCACCCACCCTGAAAAAATATTAAGAGAGAGAGAGAAACTCAGATTTAGCCTGATTTAGGCCTAGCTGATGTGATCGTTAAACATGTAGGCCCTATAAATAAATAGATGTGTCATTTTGACTTATTAAAAGGCCTGGACGTGTACGCTAGATCAAAAAGTCAAATTTAGGCCTATAATATTTTTTTAAATATTTGTATTTTGTTTTGAGTTTATGGCTACACGGTGGAAGAAATTAATAAGGAACTGTTCACTGTTTGATGGGGTACACAAAAGTGTGAAACGGGCTTGCGTTTTGCCTTCTCAAAAGGTGTAGCCTAAGCCCTAGCCGACCCCCCAACCCTCACCGATTTGGATCTAGGACACAGCAGGTCTATATTCTGTATATTCTAGCTGGGTCCTAGTTTGGCTGAGAGTCCTACAAGAAGTACCTGAGATCTCTAATAATTATAGTCAGCGATTAGTTTTAAAACAAAATATATTGCTACTTATATGTGAAACAAAAACGTTCACGCCATGTAGGCCTACGCACGCTTTCAAATATCATAAATCTATAGGGCTTGTAGGCCTATTTGGCACGCAAGGGGAATATTAGGCCAAACACACACACACGCACGTACACACACACACACACTATTGATAACAATTATTATCATTATTGTAATAATAATAATTAATCTGCCAATGGTTTTGCGTCACCAATTTTTCTGATCTTTACTGAAAATGGGGCCGGGTTCGTTAATTAAAGAGATGAAGGCGAGTTTTAAAATTATTAATTATTATTTTTCAGTTCGAATTTAGATTGTTATTGATAAATTTAATGTTACAGGTCTTCCAAAGCATTTAAATTACGCTCTAATTGTTTATTGAAAAAATCGTGACGTTCAAAAGTAAATAAAAACCACTCTCTTACGGGAAATCATTACAGACCTATGCCATGAAGCGCTCCCATTAGCAGCCAGCAGAGTATAGGCCTTATCATGCATGACGTATGCCCCCACCTCAGCTAAACTGGTTTTTGTCATGATGTAAACCATTACATAGGCTAGTCAAAGGTAGATACGTCGTAAGCACGGTTTTAAATAGGCTACTCTTTAAAACAAGGTAGCCTAGGCCTACAGACCTCCTCTACGGAGGGGTAAAGGCTACCCTGAGCGTCAGGTTCAATGCGCGCGACAGCTTCTTCTTTTTTTACCTGATCATAAGAGAAAGGTGTGATTAAAAAAATAAAATAAAGAAGTTAGCAAGCGCAACTGGTAGGCCTACTTTCTCAGGGATTTTCCCGAAAATGAACTTTTAGGTTAGAGATACACATGTATGTTGTTTGATGTTTTAAAGCGACAGTTCGGATCCTCGCTTATTCAATTTAGACCCCAATGTTAAGGATAATATGGCATGCATTTTGTATTGGACACATTGTCTTATCCATTAATCTTACATTAAAATGTCTTTATGAACGATTTTTGTTAGAATTGGAGATACAATGTCATTATCCAAAGTTTTGCAGCCAGACTATCTCTGTAGGCCTACAAGGCCAAGCAGGCCAATTGCTCACAAAAGATTTTGCTGTTCTACCTACAGAGGAGATGAATTATTTGTGTATGTATGCACTTTAAAAAGTTGCACTCATTTTTATCCAAAGTTGTGATAATAGTGACTAATCCACCGACTAACCCAAGGTTTCATGACTTTTCACTTAAGGCTGTGTGTAGGCCTATGCCCATAGTTCAATGAACGCAAATCCATATGTCCCACAATGCAACACTACTTGATCTAATTTGAATAGACACAATCTAGCTGTTTTTTACAACAGAAATGTATCTGGTCCATAATTATCAAATCTGCAGTAAAGTTGTTCGGTCAGATACTTATTTGCAGGTTCTTTTTTCGCCGTATCTTAACTATCACAACTATTTAATTGATCCAATGAGAACCTACCTTTTAAAGTTTTCAAAGGTTTACTAAGTATATTTTCATTGGCTGAATTTGACCTCTCACGTGACCTCAGGATCTGTAAATTCAGGGACGGTATCTCCACCGATAAAGTTATGTGAATGTATGAAGTCAAAATACTCGTCTTTTCGGGTGTAGATGAGTAGACGGAGTCTTGATTCATTACAATTCACACAGGCGTCGATCACATCTGAAGGATTAAGGACAGACTCCCACGCTACAAGGCGTGGCCAGACACCAAATTTGGGTGGTGTTTTGACTTGGAAGCACTACTTCCAAAATGGCCGAACCTACTACTGGCACCTTGTATTACCAGGTGAGTATTAGCTACGCTGGTGAACACAGATGTATCTTCTTTTCACACTATTCAGTTCACATACACATTAAACATTCTGGTCACTCAATGTTTTTATGCGACCTACATAAATCTG